CCTCTCGCATATATCACAATCTTTATTCCTCTTTTATCAAATATTTAGATTTGTCATTTTTTCACTGCTCTAATTTTATCACAAGCTTCATAATAAATTATTTGGATTTCTGATTAATTCTTTAGTATTTTAGAATGAAAACTACTGAGTCAAAGGATATAAAAGGTTTATTGATATTTTTAATGACATTTAAATTATATTAATAATATTATTATTTTCCTTTTTGCTTGTTTATTTCTTTTGTATAGGTAGTAGAAGAAGCACAGGGCAAATAATCAATCAGAAGAAAGTTTATGTAGTAAAAACGTCTAGGCTCCCAATCCCTGGGACAGAGTCCTGCAATAAAATACACTGAATACACGTGAGTGGGACCTGGGGAGTGACCCCTGCTGCCCCTGTGTCTGTATATGTGTAGCATCTCTCTGGAGGAGTGTCCATGCAGTGTACCCAAGAGCATACTATGCCAGCCGCTCTACACTTTGCAGACTCCACATATTCACTTACCTTTTCACCTTGACATGTTATTTTCCTGAAAAGCTGTACCATTTACACTTCTGTACTTTACCTTTAGAGACATTGAATGCTTTCATGTTTTTAGAGCTTTTGCATCATTCACTGGTGAAATTTTAAAATGCTTTTTATAACTGGGAGCTTCAGTATTTCCCTTAGGATTACTTATTGGCTATAGGTACTCATTCTTATTTGACTTTTAATTTCTGTACCTTGCTTATTAGTTAAAAATTAAGGTCTTTACATTCTGGCAAGTTGTTTTATATGAACTCTTTATATATTAACCATTTAGCTTTTTGTCATCCTATTGATTGCATATATTATTTTCTCAGTCCACTATTGCTTTTTAATTTTATTTGCTTTTTAGAGGGGGCAACCAGAAGTTTAACATTTCTCTGTATTTTTTCATTTTTATGTATCTTTAATTCCCTTCTAATTATATACTTTTAAATAAACAAAAATTTGATTTTAGTTAGAATCATATACAAAATAAAGTGTAAGTGGGACCCCCCCAACCCACTTATTCCTCTTTTTAATTGAAGTATAAGCCCATCCACATCCAAATTATTGGTGGTTTTGAATTCATGAGGCCTGATTGACAGAAATTTGACTCTATCAGAACAGGAGATTGATAGACTTTGAATTGTGGAGTTTTATCAGTGTTGGCTGACTTTTCCATTCTGTCTCCTGGGGCATCTGTGAGTGCATGTGCGTGTGCTTCAGGGACAATGAGTTTAGTGTGTACGTGATACATGATTATTGTTTTGAGTGCCAGATGGGCTCAGCCTTTGGTTCTTGTCTACGTTCTTCCCATTTGAACCTCTGTCTTTGCTCTTTTAAAGCTTAAGCCTGCAGTGACCAGCAAGTGAAGAAGATATTGAGCTGTTTTGGATGTATTTTACATTGTCTTTGGTGCTCTCTCTAGAATTGTTGGTCACAATTTTGATAACTCAGTTATTGATGTCCAGTTGAAAATTAAAGTGAAATTAAGATAATTTCAAGATACATGATCCATGAAATATTGATATGCTCTTAATTAATTGGTATTAAAAAAGTTTGGGTCTACTTTCTGCTACCAAACTCTTGTTAATTTTTTTCTATGCACTTGGATCACATTATAGGCTACTATTAAATAGCCCCTCTGTACTTTATCAAAAGAAGTTATTTAAAAAAGTTTGGGTCTACTTTCTGCTACCAAACTCTTGTTAATTTTTTTCTATGCACTTGGATCACATTATAGGCTACTATTAAATAGCCCCTCTGTACTTTATCAAAAGAAGTTACGTTTTTTAAAGATACTGAAAAGAAAAAAGACAATGTTAATTTGAGAATATATACAGTTCAGATATTTATATATTTCATATTTATTTTTAAATTTTCACATTCAGTAGTAGTTGAATCCAAGTAAAATGTTCTTTTCCTGTGTCTTGTGATCTCGTGCTATGCTGTGATTTACCTGCACAGCATGGTACCTACAAGGTCATTCACCACTACCCTGGAATCATTTGTATTCAAACAGTATCCTTTATTGCATGGCTTTCCCCCAGAACCTTCTGGAGATATTTATTTCTGGTGTCCCTATTGCCTCTGTTGTGAGGAGGTAATGGGAAATATACAGCATCTGTGTCTGAAGCTAGAGTGAAAATATTCCTGCTATTGCTGTGGCTCCTACTGGTTCCTCAGGAGCAGGAAGAGGCATAGGAAGGAATGGCTAGGTGGGAGAGATCGTGGCATTAGAATTCAGTACATGACTTGGTAATGTATTACTGGATGTGAAATAATTAGCTATGATTATAGTAAACATTGTTACTTGTTACTGTATTATCTAGTCCTTTCAACAGTACTACGAGGGAAGTATTCTTCCCATTTGACAAATGAGGAAACTAAGACTCAGAAATTGTGTTTCATTCAAGTGAGCACAGGTACTATACACACTATAAAGGTGAAGAAAGTGAATTTAACTTTTGACTTGGTCAGTTGAAGAGAGAAATAACTTGTTAAAATTTCAAACAGTTGTTTGGAGAAGCAGAGTTGGAGTTTGGTAGAGAAGACAGAGCTAAAGGGAGGTTTGGAAAATCCTGTACACAGAAGTGATAGTTAACATATTGGCAATTTGCTGGTGATATATTATAAAGTCATCATAGCAGCAGAGTTAATTAATTGTTCACCCATAAAATGTTCCCTGCCACTCTTTCTGGAGCATAGGTCCTGACTGCCTGGAGGCATTAATTTTGTTCAAGGGAGGTTGTAGAGCATGGATTTATAAGGTGGTGTTATAGACAGGTTTTCTCAGCCTTTATCCCCTTTCATCACCCTGCTGGTAAGGATTCCATGCTGCTGCAGGACAAATTGTAGTGGTAGAAGGACAGGCATGTTCCCTGCAAGATGCTTGGTTATGTAGTTTGAAACACCTTCCCCTGTTGATTCTGTACCCCTTCCAATACATTTTTTAGAACAACTCTCATGGACTCATAAAGAGTGGAAGTTGTTGCTTTTAATTCTGCTTACAAAGGTATATCATTTTTGTTGCCTAATTAATTGTGGGAGAACATAGAAGAAATCTATTAGTTCCTTTAATATAAAAAGGAAGAGATTACAAGGAAGTGACTTGCATAATTTTAAGGAATGATGTTTGTTTGTCCCAAGGACACGGGAACAGCTGTGCTCTGGCCTCTGCTGTTCTGGGGTGTGTGCTCTTACGCCTCAGGCTTGCCATGGTGCCTCTGATCCACTTTTGGCTGCTCATTTCGAACTCCCCCAAGCTTGGGGTAACATCCTTGTTATGCAGCTGTTGACTTAGGCTTGGATTTCTTGTCTAGCCAGCACTACTGGGCTCTAGGCCCAAGATTTTACAAACTGCAAGCAATCACATGAGGCTGTTCACAGTTAGGCGTAGGGTGACACTACCACTGGCAGGCAATTTTGAGGCTTCACAGGCTCTCCAAGAAAAATTCACAGATACTCTCATTTTCAAGGCTAAACCTGTCATCATAGAGCCATGTGGCTGGTTTGGGTGTAGTTAGTGAAGGACAGGTTGTGTGGGATATACGTATTTGAAGAATATGTGCTAAGAATCATCAGTAGGGTTTGTTTGTTTGAAACTGCACGAATATTCCAATTTCTGTATCTTTCACTTTGTACTTTGGGGATGAGCCACACTTCCACAGGGAGGTACTCCTACTGAAGAGAGTATGTTCTATCACTCCTGTGTGTTAGGGTAGAAAAAGAGTTGAGAAGCCCTGATCTAGGATGTGTCATTCAACGTGAAGAAGTTAGGAGATGTTTCTAAATTACATACATACACTCACAGTCAGTGACATACTTTTCATCTCTGAGTAACTTGAACAGATATCTACTCTCTCTTGGTGCCTAGTAACTGCAGAATGATTCTCATTTTAAGTGTTTGGCAATTTGGGGATGGGGAAAGAAATGGACAGAGCAACTGAACCTGTACAAGTTTTCATTCTTTTTGACAAATGCATGATATGTCTTCAGGAAAATGAAGAAAATATTCATTTTTGCAAATGCTATCAATCTCTAACAATCAAAAATTCACTTGGCAAGAGAAGTGGTATAGTTATACAGAATTGTGGTTATTGTTACATTGTTCTGTTTACTGTAAACCTGGCTCAGTATTGGTAAATATGGTGTAGCAGAAAATGAACTGTTCTGAGCTCTCTGGGCATCAGTCCAAGATATCATTAAAAATACTGCCTCAGACTAATTTGGGTTTATGAATAATATTTTGTTAACAGCTCGAATGAAATTGAGCCACATGGTGTATCTTAAAATTCTGAATCCACAAAATAATGAGAGTAGTTTAAGTATAGAGTGCATACTTAATATTCTATATTTGAGTGATAAATTTTTATGTAATTTTGTGTTAACCCTTAAACTATAGGTACTCAAATACTTAATGTGATCTGATATCTTTAATGCTGTGTGTGGTTTGCTGTTAATTTGCATTCCTTTTAAGGAGAGGTTGCCTGAACAAATATTAAAATAGACATTCAACACCTATATGGATGTGCAAACAGCTGGAGTTTGTTAACATTCACCAAAAAGATTGAAGGAATAAAGTTGTTGGAAAGGTCCAGGAACTTAATTCCTGTATTTTACTAATGAAAGATTATAATTATACCTAAAATAGGTTATGGGGATTATTAATATTTGGTTATAAATTATTGATTATATTAGGTATAACAGAATGAGGTGTTATGATGTGTGAGATGATCCAAGACAAAAATCCATATTTAGATGTTTCTTACCAAGAAAATATATATTTGTCTTTTCCTTTGTTGTACTATTTTGATTAGCTTAAGTTCTTTCTGAGCATACATATATAAACTCCTATTAAGAAGATACAGGAGAGTTGATTTTCTGTCACTGTTAGTATGTAAAATATTTTTCTAATGAAAAGGTATATGTATTATTTGAAGAATAAATTTTAAATATACCTTTTGTCAATAAATATTTCATTCATTTTCCAGGTTAGCACTCTACGTATATGAATATCTGCTCCATGTAGGAGCTCAGAAATCGGCTCAAACATTTTTATCAGAGGTATGTTTTATATATTTTATGTTGTATATGCATTATATATGTATATAATATATTTATGCAGATATGCAATATGCATAATATAGTCTTTATATATTTAAGCATTTTTAGTATCCCAAAATGCCATTTCCATGCCAGTATCCTCCTACTCAACTTGCCAGTCATTTTCTCCCACAGAAATAGGAACTAATGTTTTAGCCTTTACAACAATAATCAAGGAAGGAAATTTGCTTAAAAAAAAAGACAACCACCACCAAACACCAAATATCTAATTTTAGTAGTATCTTATTTTGGCATCACTCACAATTTTGGAGAAAATAGTGGTTTTTTTTGTATGGGTAATAGTGGATTGATGACTGAATTTCAGTTAGAAAACATTTTGATGATCTTATTTCAAGTTCTTGTTTCTTTTTAAAAATTTTTCTCCACATTTTTGACTTTTGAATTTAAGCTTTCTTACAATGATGCTTTTTCTTTTCCAATTTGTATAATAATGAGAATGGGGAGGATTTTATTGACTTCTGTTGTATGCTAGGCACATTGTTTGCCAAGGTATTTTATACATGTTATCTTTAATTCTTAAAAGATTGCATTGTTTCTGTTTCATGATAAGAACTGGGCTCAGAGAGTTTATAGAACTGGTTCACCTTAGTGAGTTATGGAACTAGAATTCAAACCTAGCTCCACATCAATTCCAAAGCCCAAAGTTGAATTCCAAATTCCAAATTCCAAATTCCAAAGTTGAATTGGTTCAACTTTCTGAATCCTCAGGGGTCCCCAAGACTGTATTTTCTTACCAAAATCATAAGATATCAGATACAGTGCTTACTAAACTTCATCAAAAATGAAAATGTTGTTAACTTATTTAAGGAAGTTCAGATACTTGGGCTCAAATGGATTATGTGGATTGAGCAGGTAAGTAGATACTGTACTGATATGCCCTGAGCTCAATGGAAAATAGATGTACAAAATTCCTAGGACTATTTGGTAAAAATAAATTACAGTTTCTGAAGAGATTCACACATTTTTGCTAAGTATGTACCATGATAATATTTTTTCTGGCTGCATTTGGAATACAAAACTGAGGATTTCTCTGCTTTCTCAGTCTGGTTCAGTTTCACAAGAGGAGTCAGTTAAGCTGAAAACAAAGTGTTGTCACCAAGAAGATAAGTATTTCTGGACTTTGGAGATGAGTGTATGTGATTCCCAGAACTATTCTTCATGTTCTAGCTTACCAGACTCTGAGTGGCAATGTGAAAATGCATTCTAATTACCTAAATAACCAATATAGGATTGGCTAAATATAGGGAATGGCTAAATTAATTGAGGTGTAAGTTTACTGTAATGTAAAAGAATAAGTTAGATCTATTTGGACTTAACATGGTAGACTTCTAAAACATTTTCTAGGAAAAAGTTAGCTGAAGCATGCCATTTATCCTTTGCATATAAAATGATCTTTCTTTATTTTTGTGGGTATGTATTTATGAATGGGAAGTATGGCAAAATGTCTAAAAGAATGTACATGCTCTGGATTAAACAGGAGCAAGCCTGTGATCATCAGCAGGGGAGATGATTTCTACTTACCAGCCAGGAAATGTGCTTTCCTTCTCTGCTGGGCCTGAAACACCCCTTTCACTGAGAGACACCTGGGAGTCTGGAAGCTCCTGCTACAGGGGTGTCCCACACAACAAATGGTCCAGCCTAGTAGCCTCTTTGTCCCCATGCACTGATATTCCCCTCCTCAGAATGACCAGGTGAGAGGGATCCTGTCACAGTAAGCACCAGGCCAGGGAAGCTCTTCTAGCATGGGCCTAAGCACCCACATGTTTGAAACAAACTCATACAGGATGTGTTCTCTGACCACTTTGGCATCATCAAACAAGGAATCAATAATAGAAAAAACAGGAAAACTTTGAAACAGTAAAAATGAGACAGCACATTTATAAGTAATACACAGGTCAAAGAGATCTTAAATGAAATAAAAATACATAGAACTGAATGGAAATGAAATCACATCATCAAAATATGTGGGTTCCAGCTAATGCAATTCTGAGAGGGAAACTTATAGCACTAAACTTTGCATCAAAAATGAGGAAAGGTCTCAAATCAATAATCTAAGTTCCTACTTCAAGAAATTTGGAGAAGAAGGGGAAAAAAATCCTAAAATAAGCAGAAGGGAGGAAATAATAAAAAGCAGATATCAGTGAAATTGAAAACAGGAAAACAACAGAGCAAATCAAAAGTAAAAACTAATTCACTGTAAAAAAAATCAAGTTGATAAATGTCAGTCACTTTACTATGTACTTGAGATCACATAACTAAGATTGTGTGAAAGCTGCCTTTTGCTAATGGGTCTTAGGGCTCCTGTATATTTAATATTTAAATTTTCCTGTATATACAGGATGTATTTTTTTTTGAAAACTTAAGAATGAAAATAGCATGTCTTGTCCAACTGAAGGTATTTTGCTTGAAGCTTTTTAATTTGTAACTCAGATATTGAACCTATGATGTTTAATTATTTTTATTATTACAAACATCAAATGTGCACTTGGAAATAAAATCCCAAACAGTAAAAAAAAAGAGAATGTACATGCTGGACTAGTTTTCTGGGAGTGGGGATGTTAAAGGGCTCAATGGGGAATTTAAAACTAGAAATATATATATATTTTATTTGTATATGTATATTCTTTATACAGTTATTTAAAAATAAAAATAAAAATAAATAATGGAAGAGAAAATACAAAATTATCTCCCTTTTAAAATGGAAGCCTAGAGGTAGATCAGTGATTGGCCTTTACTGGGTACACTGTAGAGTTCTAGATAATTTCAATTGGTTAAATTTCAGTAGCTTTCTATATCCTCCTTCGTACTTCTAAGTCTCCACAGTATGTAGCTGCTGCATGTGTTTGCCTGTGCACACCTTCAGTTTCTGTCATCTGGGATTTGTTCAGTGATGTTCACTCTACCTTAAACCTCCTTCCTTTTTCTACCTGACTGGCTTAGAGGTAGCTTTTTTTAGGAAAGCTTTCTCAGGGCTCCACCTTTCTAAGCTGATGGTACATTCTTACAGGAAGACCTTTGCATACTATGCCAGGAAGCTTGAACTTTATCTTCTTGGCAAGAGGGAGCTTTTGATGGTTTTTAGGTAAAAGAATAACATCATTAGGCATATACTCTGGTGTCTATGTGAATGGCAGTACTCCCCTCCCTAACTGTGGACAGTAAAGAAAGGTGAACGTAATCTTTTAGACCTTTGTGCTCTATTTAGCATTATTTTCCTCTCTCACTGTCACTTGGATCATCTGGACAATTTAAGCCTGTTTATTGTAGAATGACTTCTTAAGTAGTTTTAGTAGTAAAGGACCATCTTATCTAAGTTCTTCTTAGTCTATCCCTAGATTTTTACCTAATTCAGAACTGTTACACAGGAACTTAAAAAGTAGGGAGACCTATTTATTTGGGTTGGGTATAGTGATTAAAAAGGAAATGATTAAAGTGGCACCAATTATTCAAATACTCGATATTCTCACTCTGGTTCAAGATGAAGTAAAGTATTTTTTCCTATAATGGCATTCTCCCTCGGGTTGAATGAGATATGGGTGTCTACGATGTTCATGAGCCCTTTGGAACCAGAATTTACTGTGCTTTGCCACCTTTTTCATTAGTATGGGGTTGCTTTGGGGGAAGTTGTAAGAAGGTCAGATTGGAACTCTAGGCATCATCTGAGCAAGTAAGATATATATCTCAGCAGCCCAATCTCTCCCTGGGGCTTAGTTGTTCTAATGTGCCCATGGCCTGGACTGTCGGATACTGGGCTGCTCCTGATAGCTTTTGTTATCAGTCAGAAGAGTAGGGCACTATTAGCCCAGCTTTCTTTCTTTTTTTTCACCTTTTAGTTAAAAGAGGTAGCATTGGACTAAGAGTAAAAATCAAAACATTTCTCTAACCAGGTTGTGTTAACTAGCTCATTGTTAATCTGATTCATGATAGATTCTAAACTACTGCCTGAATCCTAAATACAATTTGTATGTCTCTTCATTTTCTTATCTCTAGGGGACAAAACTGAATATTCTTTAGAATTAACCTCAGTATAGAACCCTTCTCTGCTTTATCTTTTATAATTCTTCACTATTTAATAATTACAAACAAAATGCTAAGAAATTTTCTATACAGTTCTATATCAAAGTCTGTTACCTTAGATTCATTAGCAACTATCCTCTTCTTGGTTATTGTTTCATTATGCAAAGATAATTTGTACTCATTTCTGAAATTTTGCATGATATTCTGTGCCTCAGATGGCTTGGTGTCCTTAACAAATAAAATTAAGAATTAGAATGTTGTAGAGATCTAGATTTATTTACATCTTAAAAATTTTATATTATTTATACTTCATTACTAATTCCCGTAAATTAGACAATAAGTTAGAAATAGAGGCTTAAAAATATCTAATGGACAGATTCTTCAGATTATATTAGTAATGCTAAATTATGGAACAACCTAGACTCCAGAATTCTGTTCCCTGTCTATCTTTCAGATATATGAAGAGAGAAAATAATAATTTCATAACTAGTTTCTTGAACTTTAATTTGGAAGCAATATAATGTAGCGGGTAAGAGTAATTGCTTTAGGGCCAGACTGCTGGTTTTCAATTATGTTCTACTTCTTATTTACTTACTCAGTTTTCTTAATTATACAAAGAATAAAATTGTAAAATACTTTAAAGTTGCACTGAGATTTACATGTTAGTATATATAACCCTGGCATGAAGTACTCTAAACAGTTATTTTTAAAACTCTTGACCAATTATTTTCTCTCTGTAGCTTCTTTCTTTAGGGTACAAACATAAATATATATCCTTTGTGTACAAATGTGCTCCAAGTGTATGCCCCTTGGGTGGCCCACAACCTTCCTACCTCCTGGGGTTACCTTTTCTATCAAAATGGCTCCAGCTCTAATCCCTGTTATTATGGGTTGTTTCAAGTCCTCTCTATTACCTCTGGAGC